CTTCTATAGTTGCAGCAAGAGCTGCCTCAGTACCAAAATGCGAGGTTAAATTCGATTCAATTATAATAGACGACGATCTTCAGCTCTTGATCCGTCTTAAAAATGTCCGTAGGAGACAATATCAAAGAACACGCGATCCTGCCATGAAAGTTATCTGGCGGGATTTGCAAAAACAAATTAAAAAGCGATTCTCTGCCCTGAGGAACAAAACTTTTAAAAGTAATATTTCTAAATTAAACCCGAGTTCCAAACCCTTTTGAAAACTCAGAAAAATTTTGAAAAAACCTCAAAAGCCAATTCCAGCGCTTAAAGAAGGTGGTAAAATTTTGATCACAAATTTGGAAAAAAGCTCAGAAACCTGCTAAGCAATTCGAGAGTTCCCATAATTTCAGTTTGGTAGGTCTTACTAGTCCTATTGAGAATCAGGTTGCTCGGAATTATCTGAATATTTTCTATCGGGAAAATATTTTTGATGATTCCTGGGGGACTGATTTGGGCGAAGTAAGGTCTATAACTAAAAAGTTTCAACATATGAAAGCTCCAGGTGATGATGGAATTTTCTATATCCTCATCAAAAAACTCCCAGAGAGTACCTTGTCTTTCTTGGTAAAATTATTTAACAGATGTTTCCATTTGGCATACTTTCCTGATAAATTCCTCCAATTTTGAAGCCGGATAAAAATCCAGCTGAAGCTTCTAGCTACCGTCCAATAAGTTTGCTTTCTTCAATAAGTAACCTTTTGGAAAAGATAATTTTAAATAGAATGATGCTTCACATCAATACGAACTCAATTTTTGCAGATGAGCAGTTTGGATTTCGCCATGGGCATTCAACTACTCATCAACTCTTAAGAGTTACCAATTTAATTCGTTCAAACAAATCTGAAGGCCACTCAACTGGAGTTGCTCTTCTAGACATAGAAAAAGCATTCGACAGTGTTTGGCATGAAGGTTTGATTGCTAAATTGAAAAAGTTTAATTTTCCACTTTATATTACGAAATTAGTTCAAAATTATTTAACTGACAGAACTCTGCAGGTAAATTATCAAAATTCCAAATCTAATCGACTAACTGTTAGAGCAGGAGTTCCTCAGGGTAGCATTCTTAGGCTTATATTGTATAACATTTTCAATTCGGACCTCCCTGATTTGCCTCAGGGTTGCCACAAATCTTTGTACGCTGATGATACAGGCATTTCCGCTAAAGGAAGAAGTATTCGTGTTATTTGCAGCAGACTGCAGAAAAGTTTAGATATTTTCTCTTCTTATTTACAAAAATGGAAGATTTCTCCCAACGCTTCCAAAACTCAACTTATAATATTTCCACATAAGCCTAGAGCTTCGTTTTTGAAACCTAGTAGTAGTCACATAGTCACTATGAACGGAGTTCCAATTTCCTGGTCAAACCAAGTGAAATATCTTGGATTAATACTTGACCAAAAATTAACTTTTAAAGATCACATTGAGGGCATTCAAGCCAAATGTAACAAATATATAAAATGTTTGTATCCTCTTATAAACAGGAAATCCAAACTTTGCCTGACGAATAAGCTTCTAATATTTAAACAAGTTTTTAGACCGGCCATGCTTTACGCTGTTCCAATATGGTCTTGTTGTTGCACTACCAGGAAAAAAGCACTTCAAAGAATTCAGAACAAAGTTTTGAAGATGATTTTGAAGTTGCCTCCCTGGTACAGTACTACCGAAGTACATAGAATTTCGAATGTTGAGACTTTAGAACAAATGTCCAACAAAATAATTAATAATTTCAGGCAAAAATCGTTGCAATCCTCAATTGCAACATGACCTTGATTATGCGTGGAGGGCGTTCTTTTGTGAATACGAGCTAGAAGAGCGTTATCAGTGATTGCGGTGGTTTCAGGAAAATTAAATAAAGCTTTTCCGAAAACATGACGCTGCAAAGTCACTAGGCCAATCGAGTGAGATCTTTTAATTTTATCTATTTATATTCCATTTTTGTCACTGATTTATAAAATGCTCTATATTGACGGATAGAGTTTCCAAATCATTCACCCTCCCACTAACACAACTCCTTCCTACCTGTGACACCTATGAAGGTAGTATGGGTTCCCTGCACCTTCGTAAGTAGATGTTGAATTAACTTTCCCTCCCGTCCCCTGTGATTGTAAGGATGTCGCCAGGTGTATAAGGGGCTGTTCATAAACTACGTAGACAGTTTAGGGGGGGGGGTTGAGAATTATCCACGGCCCATACAAATTTTAAAATTTTTGTATGGACATTTGTCTACGCAGGGGGAGGGGGGGAGTCAAGAATCGCAAAAAACTGTCTACGTAGTTTATGAACAGACCCTAATGCGATGCTTGTTTTGTAGATTTTATTTTTGTGTGGGGAAAGTCACTAATCCCAAGGAAAAGCGCAAACAGATCGTGCACAAATGGTGCACTATTCCCAACCTATCAGTAAGGAAGTTGGTGAAAGTGGAGGAAGTAAGTATCGGAGTAGTCCAAACCGCCATCCGGAAGTTCGGTGAAGAAGTTACCTTCGAGGATACATCAAAATCTGGCCGTAAGCCGAGACCGGTGGACCGAAAAATGGACCAGAAGATCACCAAGCTTTCGTCAGTAAGAAAACTGCCTCTCTTCGAGATTTAGCCAAAAAACTGATAACATCGAAGAGTAACGTGGACGATAAAACATATGTCAAATTTGACTACAAGACGCTTTCGGGAGACCAATACTACACATAATTAATGAAAACAATGATATTAATACATTACAATACATTATTCATCAGCATCTTTTTCGTCAGCATGGATGGATTCCTTAAACGATGAAACCAAACGATTGACCATCGGACGGGTGCTGGTCGTTTTGATTCCATAACATATGATCTCGATGAAAACAATATTTTTTTGCACTTCTGCTGGCGGACGAATGTTGAAAACAGTGAACACTAAATAGAGTGTCCAGCGCGCGGATGGAGTCAATTCCACCGTGGATGAGTTGAGCGTCAACGTAAATAAAGTAATTGTTGCCGTTGAAAATCAGATGGGCGCCACATCAACGTTAACATCGACATTCCAAGCAACATACTTCATTAATTGCTCTTGTAAAGCTGTTTCAGTATCCTGAAAAAAAAATAAACGTCTTTTTAACAACAGCAAAATCTAGCGTAATGGATATATTACCGTGATATATCGAATTATCGGAGCCGCTAGTTCTGCTTCGATGTCTGTAGACTCCTCCAAGGAAGATTTTCATACACCCCTTCTGGTGAGGGAAACGAGAATGCGTAGACATCCTCGGACGTTATCTGTGTAATGTTATGTTATAGTATTTCTTACCTTGAAGCTTTTTGAAGCTATCACCTTTTAATTTTTTTTTTAAACTATACATTTTTATTACTTTTTGTGCTTTTTAACGGAACAAAGGCACTCGACAATGTACACCAAGTATGTCAGCAACGTTACGGTGCAACAAAGATATTTTTCACCCAATAATGGGTGAAAATGTACCCATTTTTGATCTCTGAACAGGTTTCGGAAATGGGTGAAAAAGTACCCACTATTTGAAATTTTCATTTACGCATTTTTTGACAACTCCATACACTACCATAAAATGGGTACTTTTTCACCCATTAATGGGTACTCGCCAGTTACAGTGTAGTAGCTGTGAGAAATTTTTTGTTTGCTGTAAGAACTGTCATTCTAAAGTAAAAATTCTCGATGAACATTTCAAATGGTCCTATCTGCTTTGATCGATTCTCTTCATCGACTTTCTCTCTTTATAACCACTGCTATGCAAACAGATTTTGCGCTAATTCTACCACATAGTTTGATAAAGGAGACTCTTATCTAGCGTCCAAAACGTCAAATACAACAGGGAAAGGTTTTGCAGCTGAGTTATTGACGAAAGAGAAAGTCGATGAAGAGAATCGATCAAAGCAGATAGGACCATTTGAAATGTTCATCGAGAAATAAACAACAAAACGAAAACAAACCTTACGCTTGCACGGTAACAGGCAAATACCCTTATATGAGTAAAAGTTAACCCATTTTTAATAAAAGTGGCTTTACTCATTAATGCGTAAATTATTTTAACAACAATGAGTTTCTGCTAACAGTAGCTAACAGTTACTACGTAATTGAGCCAATTTAAAATCGTTAGTTTCGTATTGATTGTTGCTGCTACTGGATTGAACTAGCATCTTCACCAAATGTACTAGAATGTTTTGGTTCTATCTCTTTCGCTCTACTCAAAACTGAAATGCATAAAAAAATGACAAAATTATACACTCTTTGCACACTGTCAAAGAATCATTGTACACAAAATCAATTTGTGCAAAACCAAAACAAAAATACTATCCCATCTGGTGGATGATGGCACAAGTTTCTAAGAAAATTCTATTACAGCGAACCACATTATTTTAATCGATTTCTTCGTCAGTTAGTCGTCTGTCACTTCGTTTGTGGTTTAAACTATCCCTGTGCCCCTAAAATAATAAATAAAAATACTGTATTGTTTATTTAATGCTCAATTGTTATACGTTATACAGATTTTTTTTTAATCTTTATTTTGGAGATTTTTAGCCTTAGGCTAGTTCATCTCTTCGTTATATAGAAGAAAATCAGTTAAAACCTTAATTTCTCTAAATATCGTTTTACAGTAAGAACCGAGGTAAGAACCCGGTTTTAAGTATTTTTATCCAATATTCACTCTTTATGAAACAGTTACATTTGACGCAAAATGAAGTCTTTGCAAAATACTAAAAATAGGATACTTCGCAAAGAACTCAATTTTGTCTGGTTGCAGTTAGGCGTCAAGATGAGTACTAAAGACTTAATTTTGAATTATTTCGTTACTCGTACGTTTAGCGTGTTTTTTGACATAAGTTTGGCCCATAAGGCTGTGGCGCTTCGCATTAGCCCTTCCGATACCCAAACTGGCCATCATCGAGCAGCTGCGCTGGCTGTCAAGTTTAAACAAAAAATAAAACTTGTAAATTTACAAAACACTCCAAAGCCGAAAGTTTAATCCGGAGAGTCTTATTTAATTTGGTTTTTCTCGCTCCGGTAAGTTGGCCTTTGGTCGGTCCAACAACGATGCTAGAGATAGAAGAAGTGATCATAAATGATGGCGAAGCCGGTTACGGTGATGCGGAATATTTGGGCGATGAACAGCCGCCTGCAGTTGCTCCAGGTAACGACGCTGGTTTATAAATTCCGAAATTATGCCATAGGATCAATGCTTTTCAAAACTTCCAGCGGACAACGTAAAAGTGAAACTGAATCTACCAAGCGGGATAATCATAAAGAACACGAAGCCCATTGTCAATGCCGGAAGTTCTGCTTCCCCGAGCGCTATTAGCAGCATTAGTAACGGCGAGAGTGCGGTTCCTGTGAAGCGGAAAGCTCCAATCATTCGCAAAGCTGGGGAGATTGTTACTCCGATTCAAAAACCATGTGGAACTGTAACGGGTTTGTACCTTCTGAGGAATAATCTCCGGGCGCACCTTGGTACAATTCGAACTGTTTTGTTTTTTTTTTTGTAGTTTCTCCATCAACCATAAGACCGAAAGTGGAATGGAGCAAGGTTACTCCTCCAGGATTAAAAGTCCCTCTGACTACTTTCACGATATCTTCAGTTGACGGTAATATTGAACAACACCTGGAAGGTAACGAAATGGAAGACGACTCTCAGTTGGACGACACGACGCAAGACCTGAACAATGCGTCCGAACTCGAACAGTATACATATACGGAAGAAGCTTCGAGTAGCGTTGATTTGGCATCGCTCAACGATAAGCTATCTCGCATAGAGCACTTGCTGGAGAAAGTGGTTGCCAAGCAGGGACAGCATGACGCAGCCTTGAAAGCACTCAAATTCAACATTAAGGATTTGCGAATCGAACTGAAGAACTCCGACCGACAGTCAAACAGAAACGAGAGTAATGATTCCAGTTCTCATCCGGTCCCAATGAAGCGAGAAAGGAAGCGATTGGTTGTGTTCCCAATAGCCGATGACAACTATCTGCTACGGTTGGAGGATCTCATCCAGGTAGACGAGGAGATCCGCACCGATTTAAGCGGGCTCTTCGGCGAGGCCCCGGCGATCAGCGTGTATGAGTTTATGCGCAAAAATTGCCATTCGCTGTTCGAGCACACATCCAAGTACACCTGGACGGGCAAATCAGCTCACAATGTCCCCAGCGTGCCGCCCTCCAATCCCGCGCACAAGCTGGCCATCGTGGAGCTGCTTATTTCGTGTGGCTGCGAAAAGTTCCCTTACATGACCCGAGACATCATCGAGAAGGAGTTCCGGCGAGCGTTGACCAACTTCAACGAATCCCGGGTGATTCGACTGAAACGGAAGATGGAAAAGTCCAGCGCAAATCAGACTTTGCTAGAGGAGGACGTATAATTGAGTTTTGTTCGGGGATTAATTTTAAGAAATCTTGCTTCGAAAATAATAAATATATGACAAAGATTGTGTCGAAAATTAAAAATGTTTGCACCATTTTATTCATCTCTTCAGCAGGTATTTATTTCCAGTCCTTGAATCATAAAAGATCAGTTTCAGAATTTGTATCGAACTCATTCTGCACCCTCATCGCCATTCGTTTCTTCCGCTTGATGTAAACCGTATCGTTAAAATTACCCAAAGCTCGTCGAAAGTCCATTTCGATGGATTGCCGGCTCAGATGGGGAAACGTTTCCCAGGTACACGTAATTAAATGATCCACCAGGGCCATCTTACTCGCCACGTTGGAAGAAGACCCCTTGGGTATGGCATTCGACGATTTTCCCGTCCAGGTATATTTGGAGCAGTTCTCGAAGAGAGCATAGACATTTTTTCGTAGAAATTCGTACACGCTGGTAGTGGGTGCTTCCTTGAAAATTATCGACACTTCATCACGGATGTTGTCGTCGACTTGTAAGAGGTCTTCCAATCGAAGCAAATAGTTATCATCCGTCACTGGGAAAGTAACTAGCCGCTTTCGCTTTGGGGGTGGTCCATTATTGGCATCACTCGTTCCTCTTGGCAACTCCTTAAGATCGTTTACGGAGTTTTTCAGCCCTACTCGAAGATCTTTTATGTTGCATTTGATCTCCGTGAAAGTTGCGTCATGTTGATTTAGTTTTTCCAGGATCATATCCAGTTTCTTCTCGATTCGATCCGCCTGCGTCTGAGGATTCTTTACATTTATTGCTGCCGGTTCAGCGTACTCGTGGTCGAATGTCTCATGTTCTTGCTCTACGTCATCCGATTCTGGGTGAACAGTGGTTTCCTCGTTGGCTACTACCACCCTAGGGGCTGGAGTTAGCGGTCTTTTTGACAACTGAGGTTCAACTTTCTTCCATTCTACCTTACTGCGAACTGTTAAAGCCCTGCTAGTGGATAGGTTTGAAATCGAAGGAGATACTGCAAATGGAAAAAAAAAACCGTTTAGAACATCAATTTTCAATAATCAAACATAAACCAAACCTTTAACATTTCCAGAGGGACGCACTGTTACCGGAGTTACAATTTCGCCGGGTTTACGAATGATGGGAATCTTCTTTTTAACTGGCGACTTTTCGGTATTATTCACATTTATTGCTGACGAAACGGGTACATTTTTGGCTGGATAATAAAAACCTCTTTAATTCACGATGGAATACAAAAATCGAAAAGTATTTCTTTCCATACCTGCTATTCCGTCTTCTTCCGTATCTTCAGTGATATATTCTAATTCATATCCCGTGCTTAGGTCAGAAATCATCACTTCTTCAAATTGCATTGCAATTTACGGTTGTACTTGCGACATGTAATATTGTATTATGAGTTTTTTGTTTAAAACTTTAATCTCGGCTGGCGCGTAGGCATCATTGACGAGTGCACGGATGGATTTGAGTTCACTCACTCGACAAAAAGTGACACAACAGCGGGGCCCTGTTTACTAAAAATGAACACATATGTGTTCATTTTTAGTAAACAGGGCCCCGCTGTTGTGTCACTTTTTGCCGAGTGAGTGAACTCAAATCCATCCGTGCCAAGGGGGGGAGGTGGCTGTCAAATACGAACAATCGTCGCCTACCTCGCATAACTGGGATAACTGGTTCCAAACGTAAACAAGCCATAAGAAACCTACAGCGTTTGTTTACCTTTGGAACCAGTTTCATACAAGAATGATCAGTAGGCTGATTTGACAGCACGTCCCCCCCCAGATCCGTGCACTCGTCAATGTCAGGCAAAATATTTGTAAACAAACTTTCTAATAGACCTGTGCACGGGTGAACTTTAGCTCATCTACACGGTAACCGCAAAATACCCAATAATGACTACAAAGTAAGCATTTTCGAGGGAGACTGCACGGAAAGCAAATGGTGTAGTAGAATCTACCATATTGGTGGTTTAAATTAAACGTAACGCACCTACGTTTTTTTGCAGACTGCATCATGTGTTCACAACGAGCACAAGTGTAGTTAAAAAATACTATTCAGTAAAAATTCTCAGTTATTTGTATTTCCAACTGAGAATGCTCTCATTTTTACTACGGGTTTGTGCACTGGCTTAGAGATTCTGCTATAAAATAATTGTTGAATTTACTATGCTTTATGATGTTTTACTATGGCATGGTAATTATTGTTTTGTTTTTCAATTTAACTTTAGAGGGATGTTTTTTAAATTTTACTTTCCAAATCGAAAATCTAGATTTTATTCATTAAAATTACTTATCCATACAACATACCATAACACAAGCAAAAATATTAGTTATAAATTTCAAATTATAAACAATCATTCCTGCAACATTAATTATGGTTGATCTTACGGATTTTCACTAAGAAAATTTTACTTTGCCGTGGCACAGTTCCCTGGTCCTAATTCCAGAGCAATCGGATTCAGTGGTTTCAGCTTCAAAAAGTTCCAGCGCCGAGAGCTGCTCCATCAGAGTTCGTGGGTGTTCGAAATGGTGCTGCTTCTTGTAAATCGGGAGACGCTGTCGTCTGAATGCGTCATAATGGGTGGCAGATTCAGGCTACATTTTTACTTCCAACTACAATATTCGAAAGAAAACAAATAAATTAAGATTGAAAATCCCAGCCAACAGACTTACCTAGCAAATCAACGATTTTCACAATAATTTTATTTTATTTTTTTCGAAAAATTGCATACACAACTGGAGAAGCCGATATGTTTCCTGTCCAGTTCGATGATGGGAAAGACGATATTTTTCATATTTACAAATGGCTGCAACCAGAAGTTTTTTATGAATCGGAAAATACCACAAGCATGGTATTTTCAATCGCAAAATATTAACAGTGAAAAACAGTTGGTATTGTGCAATTAATTCTATCATATTAATGGTAGATACGCAGACAGAAGAAAATTTTATCTCATTAGCGGTAGTTGCTTCTACCATGCAAACGGTAACTTTGACGAGAAATAGCTGCTTGAATTGTTAATAAAATGTTGTTTGTTTTACCATTGCATTTCTAGCCAACGCATAGTAGTTTTGACCATATTTCAGTAAATATTGAGTAATTTGTATTTATATCTACTATTTCGTGGCATAGTAGAAACAAACACTCTTTTCAAGTGTGAGCTACAATTGAAATGCTTTCAGTGTGGGACTACCCATTAAATGAGTAACAATTTTACCCATTTATGGGCATTTGTTATTCAAAAATGAATACCTTCTACTTGTTTTTGTAGTTGTAATTACTCATAAATGGGTAAAATTTTACTCATTTAATGGGTAGACCCAGTTTTCCTCGAAAATGCTCACTTTGCAGTCATTATTGGGTATTTTGCGGTAACCGATACTGAAATTTTTTTGACACAACAGGATGCTGCACGCTGACGTCATGAATGAACGCGATTTTTAGGCTATTCAAGTGGATTTTAGGTTTTAAATATAAAGAACTAAAACATATGATATCGGACTATGTTCCTTTTAAAAAATATTCCACTCCAAAAAATCTAAAAAAAAGTAGAAGGGTCTGTGCCTAGGGGCACGAACGGAAGCTTGACGTAGGACCGCTAGTGGACGGAACAAATGTGAACATTTAGTTCTTTTAATTGATCAATCATCAATTATCTTAACTCTTTTCGTTTATTTCAAAGAGAAAGTTGATGAAGAGAATCCAAGGGACTGTCAACTTGAGTATTTTCGATTCATCTACCCGGCTTAAAAAGGTGTACCTATTATGAATTTTTTGTTATTTATGAATTTTTAAGTTTGTTTGCGTTTTGGTATTAAAGTGTATTCAATTCACCCCTCACAAGATTTCCTTCCGAATTATATGAATGGGGCGGGGTGGAAAGTATCGTTTGTGCAGAATATGTAAAAAAGGAGGGACTTCGAGAGATTGAACTCGTGAGAGCTAATTTTCTCACAAATTTGATTTTATTTGCTTTCTGGGGACTGAATATACACCCAAAGCTAATTATTCCCACTTCTCTCAAATTCTATTGGATTTTTGACACTTCCTACCAGCGTGTTCTGGAAAATGGTTGGAAGATGATTAATCTCACCAATACATTCGGACCTACAATTCCACACCTTCTATAGAGACCAGGTTGAGCCTTGATAGCTAGCTGCTTGCGGGAACTGATGACCTTGACCAATGTCAAAATAATACTCTTTAACACATTTTGGTGGCCCTGAAAAGGACCGTTTTGTAGTGATGGTTGAGTAATTCTGAGCTGGGTGTTCAACACGGATGAGGCTGTCGAGCTGTATGTCGTTTGAAGCAAGGGTGACACGCTTGGCATAGATGACTGACCCGCAGCGATTCACGAAGAGCTACTGATTCCGATCTATAACATAGCGGTGCAGCTTTTTCCTCCTTTGATGGTTGCTTATGTGGGCTCTGCAGCTCGCTGCTTGCAGGCAGCCTTTCGTTGTTACTGGAGAACAATTTTCAACGCCACACGCCGAAAGCACTGCTATTGCTGCAACTAATTTCGACGACCGAACACCACCACACAGTGGTGTGATCGTTGGGAGCGTGTGGTTCTGAGTATGGCGATGAGTGTGCAAAATATTACGCAATTCCATCCTTCCTATTTGCACGCACCCGAGTATCGGAGGCGAATGCCACTTCGACTTGTTTCGTCTACTTACTACTCTATGACGACTGTGCTGGGGAAGCAGCCCTAATAAAAAATAACCATAAACGAACGATAACCCAAATCATTGAACTATTCCACAAATGGTTTGCATGATACCCAGAACACGTCGTTAAGCAAATTAACCATACAATTTTTATTAGGGAGCATATGCATGTAGGTAATTGGTGGATTTGTTAGTTAATTCGACGCTTTTGGAAAATGCTGGACATTTACCAGTTTTTTAATAGTTTCTTGTTGAAAATCAACATTCGGAAGCATTGTTATCGATGTGTAGCCATATTTCTGATCGATTGGTGATAAAGTTATTAAAATTGGACCAGGGGCAACTGAGTTATTAACGTTCAAAATCTTTCTTAATTTGTTACATGTTCCATTTTCGGTTTTTACAAAGTGTACCCCCATATAGAAATCAAAGACATAGTCCTACGTCAAAAATATTTAATAAATTTTTTAATTTTTTTTCTAATTCCATGTAAACAAACCACTGCCAGATGTCAAAAAATGTGAGGTTAAACCGACGGTGCAGCTCTCTACAGCGGGGCCCTGCTTACTAAAAATGAACACATGAATAATACACGCGTAACATTTGAAACGGGCCTATCAACTTTTGTACACAAAACTTGTTAAGCCCTTTTCGCGCGAACCGAATACGCCCACGCAAACTAACAACACCAACGGGTAGGATAAATTCTCCCCTTCCCGATAGTGCTCTTGGTTTACGTAAGCAATTAAGCATACTTCGGTTCTCGTGAAAAGGACCTTGCAAGTTGTTTAGAAAAATTGATAATCCATTTTCAAATGTTATGCGAGCATTATTCATGTGTTCATTTTTACGAAGGGGGCGACACATATAAATCTCAATTTTAGATGCTCAAAAAATCTCACATTAGCGAATCAATCTTGGAAAAATCTTCTTGCATTTCTCGCATATACCTACTTGCATCGCGCATCATTTTTTTTGCAGGAAATCTTCAGAATCGTTATCAATCTTCTTTCTATCTACTCAGCGTGCGAGCAGCTAGCCACAGCTCAACACAATCTAGAGTCGTCCCCCTCGCATTTTTAGTAAACATGGCCCCTCTGTTGTGTCACTTTTGGTCGAGTGAGTGAACTCAAATCCATCCGTGCATTCGTCTATGGTGTTGTTAGTTTGCGTGAGCGTATTCGGTTCGCGCGAAAAAGGCTTAACAAGTTTTGTGTACATAAGTTGATAGACCCGTTTCAAATGTTACGTGAGTATTATTCATGTGTTCATTTTTAGTAAACAGGGCCCCGCTATTGTGTCACTTTTTGTCGAGTGAGTGAACTCAAATCCACCCGTGCACTCGTCTATGTCGTTTTCGTTTTTGCGATGTAGCTACACCGGTGCTACACTGCCGTACACTGAAATAATTTAATTTTTCGATTCATTAATAGGCCCGCACGCTAAAACGGCCAACCATTCATTTATTTCATTTAATTGATAAGCCTAGTGACGTAGAAGGGCCAATGATTGAAAATTTCAAACCAAAGCTAGGCCCTACTGTAACATTCGCACCAATCCGAGAAAAATAAAGTTTTGTTTTGATGACCGAAAAGTTATTCCTATTTCCAATAAAACACGTATAATCTCATAGTGATAGCAATGTTTAACATATTTAGCAGAGCTTTAATCGTACAAATGCAAAAAGCTAGCTTTCATGCTAAAAAATACTGGTTTTTGAGTTATTATACGTCGTTTGGTGGCCTCTATT